ATATTGTCAAAGCAAGAATATACAGTATTTGCAGCGTTGACACATATTATATACAACATATGTATAGACCTACATCTACATATGAATATTAAACACTGTCCATCTTGAATATATAATGGAAGGAGGAAGCTTGAGAGTTCACAAGGTTAATGCTGTATGGAATGAAAGTGTGGCTGAATCTGGATGTTCTGCTTCGGATACCACGAAGCCTCCTCCCAGAAGGTAACAAGGAAAACAGGTTGTGAAGAGGATGTGTAGTGTCCCAAATAATCTTACGGATCCTGCTCAAGCAACGCTTATGTGCTATGTCCTGGATAGGAGGGAGGGAACTGCGAATCATCTTTTCAGCCATCCTCACCACTCTTTGCACCGCCTTTATTTATGTTATTTATTTATTGCCCTTTCATCCTTCACCCCCTGGCTGCATCCCACAGCCAGGCAGCCTGAGAAATGCTTGTGAGGCGCCAGGCCAAATCAGGCAGAACTGACAAATAAGTCATTTTGTGTTTTGCATCTGAATTTGTATAATATTCGGTGTAAAAAAACAAAACAAAAGTATGTGTAATGCATATTCCAAATTCCCCAATCATGGGAAATAGTGTATTGTCAGTTTATTCTTCAATTCTTATAATGTCTTTTACATTTTAAGTGGGGCCTTCTGAGAATTATTTAGCTCTTTTTTTAAAAGTTCCATGGCTACAGGCCAAGAATTATTCCTGGTTAAGTGCTGTTGTGAAATGTGTGTGTGTGTTTTGTATATGCTCAGGAGATAGTAACTTCCATTCTGTCCTACAGACCAAAATAGATTACAGCAGCAACTCCTTACCAACAGCAATCAGAAACTCAGAAGAACGCCTCTCCAAGGGTGACATATACCTACTAGAAAATGGCCTGAATATATTTTTATGGGTAGGAGTAAATGTTCAACAAGGCCTGATCCAAAACCTTTTTGGAGTCTCATCATTCAGCCAGATCAACAGCTCTATGGTAAGTTAGGATTGGATAAAGAGAAAATTGCCTTAATTTTAGTATATGTCGTATCTGACCTTGGATATCTCAGTTTTCTATATAACGACATTAAAAATGTAAAGGTATTTCAATGAATAATAACATTTTGGCAGGTTCATGATCAAGGGAATGAAAGGCCAGCATTGAAGAAATATTAGCCTTCACTAAGGCTCTGTTGTTTCTCTCCTTCATTTTCAGCATTGTGAAACATTCCAGACTGTTTCAAGCATCTTCACACTTTGCAGTATGATTTGTGTAATGTAACTGATGTGACCTACGTTTTTAACACTCGTTTAATCCATGAATTAAATGGTCCCTGATCTGCTGTGCCATAACTTTGTTTCAGTGTACACTACCAGTTTTGGACAATCCCTTTTCAAAAAGAGTGCGATCCATTATTGATATGTTCCAGGCGCAAAGATCACGCTACATGAAGGTAACTGGTTTTGATTTTACGATCATAACAAAAAGGATCGTCGGTTACGATTCCCAGGCATTAAAAAGCATATATAAATCTGATTTGAATGCCTTAAAAGAAACAATAGTAGTCTCAAATGGGCTTGGGGAGGTTCAAACCTCGGTATGGATTGTTCCATTGCTTTCACTGTCAGAATATGGCTGCATTAAATTAAGATGGCAAAAGACTTATTTGCCAATTGTATATCTTTTTCTTTTCTTTTTTGCTTTCAGCTTATCATTGTGAAGCAGGAAGACAAACTAGATCTGCTGTTCAAACACTTCTTGGTGGAAGATAAGAGCATGAATGGGGGGGCTTCGTACGTGGACTTCCTCTGTCACATGCACAAAGAAATTCGCCAGTTGTTGAGCTAGAGTCAGAATTATGCTGGATGCCAGCATTGACATCTGTCAGGTTCAGCTGATTGACTGCTCATAGGCGAACCCATCTCCCTTTGGAAGGACTATAGAAAAATCTGTGTAATTTCATAATTTTAATATACTTCATAAAGTTTCAGCATCTCCCAAAATCTTTTAGAGAGAGACATGAACGATCAAAACACCTACTTAGGGTGATGAAAAAAACAGTATGATTCTGGGTCCTAAATCTACGCCACTCACTAAGATTGGCAGAAAACGACATCATTTTTCTCCCGACAGAAGAAAAAGCGATCACTCTCCAAGATTAGATGGTGATGCAAAGTTTGTGTATGTGATAAGTCTCTATGAAAAGAAAACGAGCCAAATAGGAAAAGGTGGTGGCTGGCCTACTCAGTTGGGACGTGGATGTCAGATAGGGTGGTCACTTCTTAAAATTTGAGAATTCAATATACTGTAATCAAATTGTAGAATGGTGTCTTTTAAAAAAAAAAATCCCAAATTTTGAGCTAGGGAAAAAAATTGACTGTGTAATTGTGTTGCTACACAAATTTGCCTTGAAATGAGTAAATGGAAACAAGCAGGTCCTGTCTCTAGGAAAGTTAAATCTGTCTTTTGGTTGATGTGAATTGGCGTGGCCATCATGCTTTGCGAAAAGAAGCATCTTTTTGTCAGTATCTTGTTTTGTCTCTTTTTTCTTATTTGCATGCTAGGTTTTAATTAAGTTATCTTGAAGATGACCATGATTTTCTCCTTTAAAAGACATGTTTTATAACAAGATGTCGAAAAGTGGCATAGAAATATGCTTTGGAGATGGTGAGGTTGAGTTGCATCCAAGAAGCACGGAAATATCCGAGATCTCCATACGGAAGAAATGCTCATAATACAAAGTTCAAATCATGCCACTGATGTTCAGACTCTTTAATAGCTCCAGATAATTTTGGTCACTGATAAAATAACAAACTGGTTTGTTACTGTAGGATAGTCATAACTGAATTTTAGTCTTCAAGCTCAGACATAAAGTTGGCCTAGCTTTGGGGTAGGCAAACCTTGGCTCTTTTATGAGGCGTGGACTTCAACTCCCAGAATTCCTGAGCTAACATGGCTCAGCTTGGAAACCTCTTCCTTTCCCCTCAGCATGGCTGGCTCAGGAATTCTGGGAGTTGAAGTCCACGCCTCATAAAAGAGCCAAGGTGGCCTACCCCTGGCCCTAGCTGATAGGCAATTTTTCCATTGATAAACCATTACTCTGGCTTCAAAGAGGCCAAAGAAATTCTGACAGAAAAATGAAATAAATTTCACAGACTCAATATAAAGGCTCGTTAATTTGCAGGAGACTACTTGTTTTTTTTTTAAAAAAGACTACGCTTAGATTGTCTTGCAGTGTTCAGGATGTATTAAGAGAATAGCAACGTGGAATTTTGAGAAAGGATGGGAGGGAAGAGCAGGGAAAGAGGATTTCCTAGGCAAATTGTGGGTTGAGACTGAATATTTGAAATTGAAACCTTTATGTACATGAATGATTAAATATTCAGGAGTATAGTTTCTTAATTTTGTGTCTGTGGGCGCGCACGTCTATGTGCGTGCGCACAAGAAAGAGAAATTGTAAATATTTTGTTTGATCCATTGCAGCTTTCCCTTTCGTGGCATAGCAAAGAAATGTACACAATTCGCTGTCAAGGAGTTTTTCCAAAAAAAGATTCATAAAGATTTCATGTGTGCTTAATATTGCCCTTCTCTCCTTCTTACTAGATATATTATCCCAACCAAAAAATGGAAATCTACAAAACAAATAAACAGCATCCATCCCCAAAACAACAGTCAGCAATGAAACTTTCAGAATTCTAATTTCTAGGATTTAAATTTTAAAAAGTTAATGAGTGTATTTTCACTTTTTTTCCCATTCATCTTTTAATTTGTAAAAATTATATAAAGATGTATTTTATGTCATTGTTAGCAAATAAATACTGATTATTTTTTTCCCAAGCCCTGTACTTTGGAGGGGAATGAACCGGTGTGCAGGCTGACTCTGTCAAGCTCCACAGTGGCAAATAAACTATAATTTGTAATAGTCTACAACAATATTCTATCAGATGCTTATAAACTTTTCCTTATCTGCAAAAGCATTTCATTTTCTAATCCATGAACCTAATTTTTCATTAGTGCTTGCTGAGAAAAACTAGCAGTTGTATGAAAAGGCACAAGCATGCTAGCACTACTTTGAAATACAATACACCCCTTCCTAAAACTAAATCACCTTTCTTCGTGACTAGATAACCTTACTGTAAAATTGAACTTTTATACTGTGATCTAGAATACATTATATTGAATTTCTTAAAATCTATTTCTATTTTTGTGTTATTGCATATTCTTACAGGTGTGTGTGTATTACTGGATGGAAGGTTTGTTTCTTAAAACAATGTGTACTCTCGTTCAGTTTGACTGGAAGAAATAATAGCTGTAATTTTTGTTATTGTTTACCACTAAAAAGTGATGCAGTAATTGCAGAGAGTACTGAAATAGCTCCTTGTAGGCACCAAATCATGATTACCGCAAAAAAAAAATGCAACAGATAGAAATTCACTCAAGCTTTCTTCAGGAAAGAAAATATGGAAGAGAGACAACAGATTCCTTTGAACCCTGGATAGCATGCTAATATGGGCATATAAATAAGGATGAGACAAGATTCCAAAGATAAACTTTATTTAAAATAAAATGTAAAGAGAAATCCACGTAACAACTGGGCATTTATTGTCTATTACTGTTTGTGGTGTTGAGAAGAAGCTGGGCTAGTTGGAAGCCTGCCTAGACAAATTTATGCTCCCCAATACTCTATAGAACTCTGTAAGTCCTCTCTTTTCATTCTTTCCATCTATACTCATAGCCACAGAAAATGGGGTTCATGCAGGCTTCTATAAGAACAAGTGTCATTTTCCCCCAAACTACCACCCCCTTCTTAAGGTTCCCCACTCCACAGCTGCTACGTATATTCTTTTTTTTTTTCTCTATCCCAAATCTCAGCCGATTGATAGACTATTTCTGGCAATGTATTTAGATATTAGCCAGCCCCTTCACTGGCTATTTATTTCACTAGAAGTTCAGTACTTGCTCACCCATATTATTCCATGTACTGAATTTGCATTTAGAGATGTTGAAGAACCTGTCTATATTGTAGTGTTATTTCTTCAGGCCATTGAAAATGGGCACTTGCACGAAATAGCGTGTCTTATTAGTACTCATCTCGCCAAAATAGAAATGATTGCAGCTTTCCGTACTACAAAGAATGTAAACCTATGCTCTTGTACGATAAACATATATTCCAAGATTCCTGTCTTTTATACACTTTACATACAAGATTTGTGAACACATTCTAAAATAATTAAGCTGCTACGTATCAGAATACTTCCCCAAGCAAAAGGCAAATACTACTTTTTTTTAATTGAAAATTTTTAAAAGTTTTACAATATAACCCCCCTCCTCCCCAAAACCCACCCTTCCTCACCCCCCTCCCTCACCCCCCGACTTCCCAGAGCCAATCACAGGGTTAACAATACAATAAATATACTCTGTCTTAGATTATGTCACTATTAAATTAACAATTCTATAACAAATTGAAGGCAAATACTTCTTGACCAAATTATTAAACTGTAAAAAAAAACGGTAACAAAAGGATGTTTCTTTTTGTGCCTTTGAATCATTGTTGATTTCTGGCAACTTGTCTGGATGAGTCACCACAGTTTCCTTGGCAAGATTTTCAGAAGTTGCCTTCTTCCCAGGGCTGAGACTGAGTGACTTGTCAAAGGTCACAGATCTGGCTTTGTTCCTACGGCAAAATTAGAACTCAGAGTTCTCCCTGTTTCTAGTATTGTGCCTTAGTCAACACCCCAAACTGGCTCTCAAAAAAGGAATTAGAAATTGTTGGTTGTATGAGAAGATGCTAATGCTTAGACCACTGAGTGTTCCCCAATATAGGAAACTGAAACTGTGTGAAGAACAGATGACTAGTAGTGTAGGAAAACATCCCCGCCTAGCCTTCATCTCTCATTTAATGTTACAAAGGATACATTTGGTAGCTTAACAATTGCAGCTTTGGGAAATTACACATTTCATCTTTGACATAAATTATTTTGCCATTTGTTAAGTGCCTGATTTGCCCCATAGGGATAATATATTTGAGTTGTCTTGGATTCCATTTTTAAACAATTCTGCCACGATTTCTAGAGGCATTTCACTTTTAATTCCTGGCTGGGACAGCCATAACTTTTTTAATTCAGTCCTTACAATGTTGAATATATTTCTTCACCTACTTTTTTCCATCTTTTCTACTCTCTTTTCCAATTTCTGCTACCGGATTGAGTTTTGTTTACAAAACAATTACAAACCACATGTAAGACAAATGATTTATTATAAAGGTATTCTTGTGGTAATATTTTTAAAGTTACGTTAAGCAGACTGATATATTCTGGGGAAAAACAATCCTGGAGATTTTATTTAAGCAATGATTTATTTTCAAATGATGGCGTTTCACTCTCCTAATTTCTGACTTTTATTACATAACTCAATCAAACTGACCAAATTAAAAAGCCATTACAAACAATTGGAAATTATGATTCTTTTTAATATGGCAGAGGCATAGCTCTTTTAGTCAAAACTCAGCTGTGGTTATACCATTATGGCTGCAAGGTATAGCTGGCAAAAAACAAAACTTCCATTTTGATACTGATTCTCCTGATAAACTTACGTTTTGGAATAATTCCATCTGGAAATCGTTTTTGTTTTTTCTATTTAATTTCCACCTGCCACAATTGCAAGACTTCTTGAGAATTATAGTCATAAAGACACAAAATCAGTATAATTAAAAAAACATCCTAAAAATCATATTCCTGATCATCTGGCCTAGGCATTATTGATCATACTTGTAAATCCTTTTTTAAGTTCATGGACTAATACGGACATTGCATTTTGGAAGTTTTTAAAGCATCTGAAAGGATATTATGGTCCCATTAAAATACCTTTTGATTTCATTTGGTCGGGAGGCTTTGGCATGTTGAATGATTCCAAATCTGCAGTATTTTACTACACACAGTAGATATAAGTGATTTGAGTAGAGTTGGAATAACCAAACAATTGTTTTGTTGTTCTTAAATCTTAAAATATTTCTTAATTCCTAAATCTTCTTAAATCTTAATACCGAATAACATTTTTTTGTGAACATGAAGAGTTACAAATGAGGTACATAAGGTTGGTGGCCATCATAGTTCTTCCACAAGTGCGAAATAGAGCGAAAGGAAACTTACACCCGAGTTTTCTTTGCTGCGGTCGCAATAGGGTCTCGTTATTTGTAGGACGGTTACGGTAATATGATTTGGGAAGAGAAACAGTGTTTAAACCAGGGGTTCTCAACCTTGGCAACTTTAAGACTTGTGGACTTCAACTCCCAGAATTCCTCAGCCAGCTTTGCTGGCTGAGGAATTCTGGGAGTTGAAGTCCACAAGTCTTAAAGTTGCCAAGGTTGAGAACCCCTGGTTTAAAAGATGTTAATGCTAGACTGAATTACATGCATTGTTAATATATGAAGATAATTAAATATTTTATTGTGCAAGAAAGACGGCCAAAGAAGGATCGCATATGCTTTTCTCTCTACTAACGAACTGGCTGTTCGGCGACAAATAATATTGGAAAGTGGGCAAAATTTCACCGTAGAGCGATTTTCTCTACCTCTCGGAATGCTCGCCGGGCGGCGAGACAAAGGGCCCCCCGAAGTCCTTCTTGGGGCCCGGCCAGGAGGGCCGTATTTGAAGGGAGAAAGAAGCGGGCGCGGGAAGCCCCCCGTCCGCTTCTCTCCCCGCCGGGGCGGAGCGGGGAAATGTCCCCCCGCCCCGGAGACGACGGCCGCCCTGGGCGCGCCGAGGCGAAGCGGCCATGGCTTTCCTCCGGCTGGCCCAGATCGCCGCTTGCTGCTGCTGCTGCTTGGCGGGAAGCGGCGCCCTGGAGGTCCCCCCGGGACCCGGGGAGGCCTCGGAGGAGTCGGGAACCGCCGCCGCCGACCGCTTCTTTCAGCCGGCGCAGCTGCACGCCGGGCTGGCGATGGCTGCCGCCGTCTCGTCCTTCCGCGGGCCCGGGAACGGCGACCGGCGCGCCAACCGGGAGCTGCCCATCTTGCTGTGGTGGAGCGGCGGCCTCTTCCCGCACTTCCCCGGCCAAACGGCGCGTATCGACTGCCGGCGGGGCTCCTGCTTGGCCACCAAGGACCGCCGCGTGCGAGCTCACCGCAGGACGCGCTCGCTGCTCTTCTACGGCACGGACTTCCGGGCCTACGAGGCGCCGCTGCCGCGGCTGCCCCACCAGACCTGGGCCCTCTTCCACGAGGAGTCGCCCATGAACAACTACCTGCTCTCGCACGGCGCCGGCATCCGCCTCTTCAACCACACCGCCACCTTCCGCCGCGAGTCCGACTTCCCGCTCAGCCTCCAGTGGCTGCCCGACCTGGCCTACCTGCGGCGCCCGCCGCCGCGCGGCCTGCCCGAGAAGGATCGCCTGCGCCGGCAGGGGCTGGCCCCGCTGCTCTACCTGCAGTCGCACTGCGACGTGCCCGCCGACCGCGACCGCTACGTGCGGGAGCTCATGAAGCACATCCAGGTAGGAGGGCTCCGGCCCGGGGCGGCGCTTGGGGGGGGGGGGAATGGGCCGCTGGGCTTGGACGGGCCTCGTGGCGCTTCAGGAAGGGGAAGCCAGGAGCTCGAGAGCCGGCTCTGAACTCGGGAGCGCAAAGGCGGCGACGGTGGGGAAGAGGTTGGTGGCTCGATTAACAAGAGACGAAGACTAACCAGGCTTGGGGTAGGCAACCTTGGCTCTTTTATGACTCGTGGACTTCAACTCCCAGAATTCCTGAGCCAGCCTGGCTCAGCATGGAAACCTCTCCATTTCCCCTCAGAATGGCTGGCTCAGGAATTCTGGGAGTTGAAGTCCATGCCTCATAAAAGAGCCAAGGTTCCCCACCCCTGCCCTATATCAGGGGTCCTCAACCTTGACAACTTTAAGACTCATGGACTTCAATTCCCAGAATTCCTGAGCCAGCATGGGGAACTATGGCCCCCTTGATGACTTGTGGACTTCAACTCCCAGAATTCCTGAGCCAGCATGGATCAGCATGGAAACCTCTCCCTTTCCCCTCAGCATGGCTGGCTTGGGAATTCTGGGAGTTGAAGTCCACGCCTCATAAAAGAGCCAAGGCCTGTACTTTGACGCAGGGTTCACAGTTGCCCTCAAAGATAAGCTGTGCTCAAGGCGGGATTCGCATGCACCCTGGAAATCTAAGGCCTTCCGTTTAACGTTTTGTTATTGTTGATGAATAACAAAGCTAGAACAACGGTGGTGGTGTTGAAGGGAAAATCTTCATCAGGGTCCAGTCCAAGCCGGGAATAAACAAAATGGAGACTGCTTTAGAAAGAAGGTTGTAGCTCAGTGATGGCGAACCTTTTAGAGACCGAGTGCCCAAACTGCAACCTAAAACCCATTTATGCATCCTCGGGTGCTAGGTGGGTGTGGCCCATTGGGTGGGTGTGGCCCATTGGGTGGGCGTGGCCCATTGGGTGGGCGTGGCTGCTGTGGTAACGGCAGACTGGGTGGGACTAAAAAGTTCAATCCATCAATTCCAACTTTGCAAGATCATTTTTTTCCCGCAAGAAGTTGAAATTGACTGACTGACTGGACCTTTTTTTTTTTTTTGCACACGGCGGCGGAGGTCTAAAGCGAAAAGGTTTTATAAAACCCAGCTGAAGGCCTAGGACTGGGGCGATGGCGCATGTGCCCACAGAATGGGCTTTGAGTGCCGCCTCTGACACCCGTGCTATAGCTTCGCCACCACTGTTGTAGTTCATTGGAGAGCCAGACAGAAAGATGGCTCTGGAACAAACTGACCACGTGTAGTAGAGAGTGGTGGGTATTTATACCTTCTTGGGCTTTTCTTTGGAGTTGTTCTGTGGCATGAATTTTGACCTGAGTGTGCCTTCCTGGTATTCTGATGGTGGTGGGTTAATCCTATTATGTCCCAAAGGTCATATCCTGCTTCCCTGGCGCTGGGGCTGATGACTGTTGGATTTTTTGGTATGAGGGATTGTTGATTCTAGGGATCTTTCTAACCCCAGCTTCCTGACTCCAATCTTTCTGACAAGATTATCACACTTGCATTGCTGCAGACCTGGTTTCTGTTTGGGTGGTGGTGGTTCTGCCTTTAAAATCCTTTGGGGAAATATATTCTGCCTTTTTAATATTTCCCAAAATATTTCTTTCTCTGGATTCTTCCCACAGTGGCA